TCCTTATTATGGTATTGAGTTTGATGCTTTGTTTCTTCATACCAATTAATTTTAGAGTTTGTTTTAGAGTGAAAACCTCTAGAAGTGGAAGAAGTGCTGTTTTGATCATTTGTATCTTTATATTTAATATTAGCGATTCAATTTGAGGTTGAACCAGTATCTGTTTGTTTTACTGAGATATACAGTATGTAGTGTTATTAGTAGTAACTGGGAAGATGGTTTCTATTTCTTCTTCCTCTATCTTTTAAATTTTTATTGCAAAGTTTTGCTGGTTTTGAGTATAACTTTTTGTGTTATTTAAAACAGTGTTTATATTATATTGTTGTTTTTGGGTTATTCTATGTTGTATTCGAGTTTTAGATAGTATGATAACTTGGAAAACTCTTTACAAAGTCAGAGAAAAATAAGGAAGAAAATTGCCTAAAAAGAAAATTTCTGAAAAAAAGGATCTATGGAAGAGTTTTTTTTTTTTTTGATAATTTATATTACTTTTTATATAATAGTTATATGTAATGTATAACAAATTCTTTTGAAATTCTTTATTTATTTATATCTTAATAAAAAATTATTTAAATAATATAAAAATTCAAATATATATTTTTTAAAAGTTAAAGAATAAGATTACTTAAGTCTATTTATATAAGTTTTATATAATTATTATATTAAATTTTTTATTTAAATTTCAAAAAAATTATGTATAAAATTAATTGTAAATTTTTTATCATGTTTTATTATATAAATCAGTATAAAAATTTAATAAAATTTTTTTTACTTTTTATAATTCAATAAAAAATTATTTATTTTATATAAATTTTATAAATATTTTCTTTATAACTAAAAAAACAAAATTGATTAAGATTTTTACATAAAATAACTTAATAAATTTTTTAAAATTTAATTTTTAAAAAAAATTTTATAATTTTTTTTTATATATAAAATTTTTTGTTTATAAATTTAAAATTAAAATTAAAAAATAAATTAATTTTATATTTTTTTATATTTATACTTTAAAAAATATATTTATTAGTCAAAAAAAATTATTTGACATATTATTATTTATATAATATTTAGTAAGAAATAAACAATTCAGCAAAAAATAATATAAATAAATTAATAACTATTTAATTCAACTAGAAATATTACAAAAATCAATATATTAACAATTCATCAAAAAATTCATTAACAATTAGTTAAATAATTTATTAATAATTTAGCAAAAATCCTTAGAAATTCATTATAAAAATTATTTATTAACAATTCAATAAAATTTAGTATTAATTTATTAATAATTTATCAAAAATTTCTCAAAAATTGTTAAAAATTTGACAACTATTCATCAAAACTATTTATTAAAATTTGTTAACTATTTATTAAAAAACTAGTAATTATTTATTAAATTATTTATTAAAGGTTTATTAACTATTCATTAGAAATTTGGCAACTATTTATCAGTAATAAAGTAAAAAAATTAATAAACTTATGTGTGAATTTTTTGAATTGAGATTATATTTATTTATTTATTTATTTATTTTTTTTAAACTGCAACTAGTATTAGATGTGTGCATTTTTATTAAGCATTAACTTAACATCTTGAATATTGAAATTCTTTAGGACTAAACATCAATTATCTCATACAAACTATATATTTCTATTTATATATAGATTAATGATAACCTATCGCGGTTTTCTCTAGGTGAACCTGCTACTACTCTGTGAGTGGGCAGACCCAGCTAGGGGTCGGATGGTTAAATACATAGTCATAAATGGCAAAACAAGCTACTCTAACAGTGAACTTTATAAATTTTTGTATTATATTCACTAGACTAGACTATATAGTATGTACCCGGTAGAATTTAGTTTTACCCTTTGATACTCCCAAAGATATTTTTCGCTCTGACCTCGGAAGGGAGCACTTTGTTTTTTTTGTCACTATCTGTGCCATTGGATCAATCCTGTTTGGCTGATTTTCATTTAAGCGGAGTACTATATTGGAATATCCTGAGCTAGGAGGGTGGATGGATTGAGGTATAGGCCATAGGTCTTTTCTTACTAGGGGTTTTGGTTCTAATAAGGCATGATCAGCCTGTATCGATCTTTTGGAGGGGGTAAGCTAACCATGATTTTTTGGTGGAGTTTGGAAGACGGTTAAAACAAGAGAAAGTTCCATAGTTTTTCTCTTGAGTTTGGGTAGTAGTGGTGTTATCAAGTATCCTTTTTCATGAGTTAAGTCCACTAACTTGTCCAGAGAGAAGGTTTGATATACCATGGGGTTAATGAAATAGTTTGGTAGAGGAAGGAGTGATAGGCCTAGGAAGAAAATCTTGGAAAAGGTGAAAGCTGTCCATTGGCAGGAAGGGTATAAAATGAGAGGGGTGAGAATAAACAAAAAAAAAAAGAAGAGGTGGAGGAAGTTTAAGGAGTTGGGAAAAACTAAGGAAAATAAAGATATTTTTATCTATGACGACTCAGTCAAATGCAAAGCCTCGCTCCAGGAGTATCCCCTCCCTTAAGAATATTTCCCTTTATCTCAGACGTTTGCCATGTGTAGAGTGCTGGTCCACTCGTGCTTCCCTAGACATAATACCTTTCATACATCAACAAGTCAGATAACAGAGCCTCATGTGATATTAGCACATCTCAGACTTTGTCTGCTGCATGGTTGTTATTTGCGCGCATGGGATAAAGAAGGGGGAAGGGGAAAAGAAAACCTCCTAAAAAGGAAATTTTCACGAAGTAGGGGGAAGTAGGAAAGAGTTTTTAAATTTCTATCATATGAATAATTTTGAATTGAGTTTATATTTATAAATTATGAATAATATAAATTATAATATAATATATAATATGTTATTTATATTATTATAATTTAATTAATTATAAATATGGATAATTTTTTTCACAAGTTTTATAAATTTTTATTAAATAATAAATAAATAGTTGCTGAATTTTTAATGAATAGTCAATAAACTTTTAATAAATAATTTAATGAATAGTTGTTGAATTTTTTAACAAAATGTTAATGAATTTTTAATAAATAATTTTGATGAATAGTTGTTCAATTTTTAATAAATGGGTGACAAATTTTGATAAATTATCAATAAATTAATGTTGAATTTTTATGGAATTGTTAATAAATAATTTTGTGATAAACTTTTAATGAATTTTACTGAATTGTTAATGAATTATTTGATGAATTATTAATGAATTTTTTTGATAATTTATTGTTAAACTTTTAATTAATAAATTTTTGATTACCAAATTTTTTAAATGTTAAATTTTTGATTGCTAAATTTTTAATTGTCACTTTATTGTCAAAATAGTAATATGTTGGGTGACAGCAATCAAAAAGAAATTTGCAGTATTTTTATTATTAAATTTAATTAAATTTGATAATAATTTAGCTATCGAATGACACAATTTTGACTAGTGTAAATAAAAAAAAATTTTTTTAATTATTAATAATATTATTTAAATATATAAATACAATTAATAAAAACTTTATATTTTTTTAAAAAAAATAATTTTATATTAATTATTTAATAAAATTTATATTATTTAAAAATTCAAATTAAATTATAATATATGAAATTTCAAAAATTATAAAAGTAAAGTAAAAGTCTTAAAAGAATATAATATATTTGATTTTTTTCCTTTATAAATTTTTTTATCAGTAATATTAATAATTGTATTGGACTTTTTTCAATTATAAAAAATTAAATTTTGATTAAAAAGAATTATAAATATAAGGAAAAAATAGTATTAACTTTTGAATACCCTTTAAAATATTTTAAGAATAATATTAAAATTTTTATACAAATAGTTTTTTAAATGTATAATATTTATGGAATTAATAAAAGAGTTTATTGATGAATTAATTTTTATAAATTAAAAAATATATAAGTATCTAAATAAATAAGCTTTTTAAAAAGAAATTCTTTCAATAATTTTAAAATTCATATTGAAAATATACTTTTTGGTTTTTTTTTTAACAAAAAATTATAAAATTTTTATTATAGTCAAATACGTGTATATTTTAAAAAATCAATCTTTTAATAATTATAAAAAAGTATAATTTAATTTATTTAAATAAATTTAAAATAATAATTTAACCAATTTAAATATTTTATTAATTTAAAATATCGACATTTTTTTAAAAATCTTTTAAAGAAAAAAAAATATTTTTTATTAAAATCAAGATCTGTATTAAAAACTTTAATTTTAATGATCAAAGGTTTATATTTTTAATATTATTTTAAGATACGATTAATAAATCTGATGGTATTTCTCTTTTTTGATTGATAAATTAAGCATTTATTTTATAAAATGAAATTGAAGTTTAATAAAAAAAAAAAAATTCTTTTTTTTTTTTTTTAATATACGGTACACTGTATATTTATAATATATAAACGACGATTATTTATTTCTCGAAATTAATTTTGATCTTTAAAATTTGATTACACAAAAAATTCTTATAATTTTTTTGATAATTAATTAAAAAAGATATTTTAAAAGATTGCGATTAAATAAATTTCAATAATAATAAAATTATTAATAATTTTTTAATTCATTTTAAATAACCATCAAAAAGTATACAGTAAATTATAAGTTTTAAAATAGCTTTAGAAGTAACCATAATCACGTGAGTTGAGTAAATCAAATGGGAATCGTTTTCAATCGTAAAAGAAAATCCAAATAGGGCATTCAATATGACAAAATATGTAATTGTCTACTCTTTCTGTGAATAATGTATACACCATCTTCTATTAACTATCGCGTATTCTTGACAATGCAAACGCATCAGATGCTTGATGGTACAAGCGGGAACATATCAGTCAGTAGTGATGCAAATAGAATCATATTAATAAATCTATTTTCGTCAGCTAATGGTTTATTTATCAATCGATTCGTACTTAAATGAAGATCGAATGCATAAAAGTTGAATATAAATTGATGAATTCCTTCTTTTTGCGAGTGTCTTGACTCCTTCCACTGTTTTTTCCAAAATGGAGCCTGATAGCAAACTTCACGAATCCATCAAATCTCCCGAAGAAATCGTGCCAGCCTCATACCAATGCTATCTCAATGATCTAATCACCATCCCTCCCGCTAGAATCCCTCCATCCAGCATCTTCTATCCAACCGTGACATTCTTTTCCTTCATTCGAAACATGTTTGTCCACCTGTTATTCACGTTATCAACCGACCTTACAATGCCAATTAGCCGTCCACTCAATTTCTTAGCCGTCGTTGTACTCTACCCTCTCTGCATTTTAATTCTTTTGCCATTTGACATCTTTTTGAGGGTTTTTAACTTTCTATGGTTGGGCAAGAACATCAAGCTTTACGATGAAAATATATGGCAGAAAATCCCAAGATCAGATTTGAGTAAGTAAATCACGCGTTCTTCGAAGAAACTCGACTCAATTTGGTTAACATTTTTTGCATTTTAGGTCTGAAGAAAATCAGAGAGAATGGCATAGAGTTATTAGGACAACCTCCTCCTGATCAAGATTCCATATTAACACAGTCACCGACATTTAATCTTGATATGGCCGAAACAATTTTGTTCCTATGCACGATCATATACCAGAGAGATGTCAACACAGTTTATGATGCATATAAAATCCTCCAGGAAAGAGATTTTGATTTTGATAAAGTTACGTTTGAAGACTGGAAAGAAGTGAATCGTTTACTCAACTATTCCGTTCAAGAAATTCGTAGATATGCACATGAGTGGGAACTAGAGTTCCAACCCCTCTCGGAACTTGGTTCCCTCGGTAATCATTTCGCCGGAATGTATTGGTCAAAAAATAGAAATGATAACTTCATTATTGTAGTATTTAAAGGCACTACAGCGACAAATTTTACCGAATGGTTAACAGATTTCTTGTTTAGCCGCATTGATGCGCGCTCCTTTGTTTTTGGAGAAATCCATGGTGGATTTTATAATTGCCTGTTCCCCGAGGACAATTACACTACGTCAAGAGTGTTCGGGTCCTATCCTTCTCGTAGGATAGTTGAAGCTGTACGCGAAAAAGCTAGAGAAATTGCCATGGCTGATCGCGAGGACGATGGAGATGATAATGATGCAGAGGAAAAAATTCGGCGAGTGAATGTTTGGGTTGCCGGACATTCGCTTGGTGCTGCCCTGGCTCAAGTTTTCTACGCAAGGTAAGGGTTAAATTTGAACGGCTTATTGCTACTATGTAACGTAAATGATGCATTGTTTATCTTTATTAATGCAATGCTCAGACTTGTAAAAACAAGCGACCTTGGACGTTACGCTGTCATGAGAGATGCATTCGTCTTCGCGGGTCCAGCGGTGGGAGATAACAACTTCTTTTCGGGATTTAATAGTTACCTTAATATCAGTTTTTGTGAGAATCGAACGCTCTGGCGTGTTATCGACGACAATGATATTGTCCCTACCTTGCCTCCGATGCCATCCGATCCTCGCATTCGACAATATCTCGAGAAAAATGATGTTTTCAACTATTTTCACATTGGTGATGCAGTAAAATTCTACCAATACGACCGAAAGCCCGAAAGTCATAGAGACATCTTTGGAAAAATAAAAGATGTTTCTCAGATTAATAGGAATATAAGGTGGAAAGGCTTTTCGAATGTTCTGCAAAAAAGACGTGCGAGGAACAGTAGGCCGAGAAGGAAATATTCGTTTGTCGAGTTTGTTAGAAGTTTAGTACCACGTAAATCAGGAGGGAAGAATGATTATAATGTGAAGATGTTTGGTCCACTCGAGTCTCTATTGCCAAGTCCTATTAGAAACCACATGCCCCATCGTTATTTTTCAGCCATGGAGAGGTCTAGAGATTACTTTGAAAAACACGTGGATACGTAGAATTTGATACTGTATGCAGCATGCATGACAATTATTCAGTATGTACGATTCGACATTTTTTTTTTCCCAGGGAAGATTGTTTGCGTCAAATTGATTTTACCTGAACAAAATAAAAAAACGAAAAATAAAAGATGTCATTGCGTTAAAAATGATATCACTTCGACAAATCATGTTTACGTCAAAAGTGAAAATGACGTACACTGTTTATCATATTTAAATGTAACTGTTTTCGAAATAGATTTCTTATTTCACTCACGTAGAGCTTCTACTGGGAATTAATTATGTCTGGTGTCAGCGCATTACTTTCTCCTTTCTCCGATGAGCTCCAGCAAGGCATTAACAATCACATCCATTGTGAACTTCAGGCAAGCTTTGTTTTATTACTGCTGTGGAGAACTCATCGCGTTGGAGTAAGTACTGTACTGACAACGTCAAACATTATTAAACAAGGCATACTATGAATATACCTCTCTTGCCTATTCTTGTGCTAGAGAAGAACACGCGCTCCATGGTTTTAAACAATATTTTCAATGTGCTGCAATTGAAGTATGAGGTTTTCCCTCGAATCTGTAATACCGCATGCATATATACTGTCTAATATATACAGTATATATATTTTTTGTGAGCAATAATTTAAAAATAAATTTAATGCTTTAAAAAGTGTCTTGCCGACGCAAACGCTTTCATGCAATATCAATGCCAACGTGGTGGGAAGGTCGAATTGAAAGAAATAGATGCACCTGAGGTGGGGACGATCAATCTCTTAATTTTACTGCTTAAATTTGAAACATTTGTTAAATACGTATACGTTTTTTATAACGAAGCTGTGCTGGGATGATCCTATTGAAACTTTTGAGAAAGTTCTTGCGTTAGAAAAATGCATCTCCGAAGATCTCTACAAATTAGACGCTATAGCAGAAAAGTGTGGGGACAAGGCAACTTGCAATTTTATTGAAGGCGGATTCTTAGATAAAGAGGTGAAAAATTCTTTTTCGTTTCCCTCTTTTTTTTTTTTCTATCTTTAATATACTGCATACTAAAATATCTTATTTACGTATAGACTTGTCATGTTAAGACTACGGCCGACATGCTTCGCCAAATTAAACGCGTCCAGGGCGAAGGCTCTGGTCTGTACAACATCGACAGAGAATTACGAAAGAACGAGGGAAGACCCGTGTGGTCTAACAAAGCTATGGATATTCAGGCGGCCTTTCTTGATTTTAAGCTTAGGGGTTAATAGAAATATCCCTATATCGTTTCATGGATGCTCAGTTTATCGTGCGATCCTGAATACTGTACGTAGTTTCCCGCGGGTACGTACGTAAAAATCACGCATTTAACCAATCAATTCATCTATTGGATTCGTGTCACGGTAGTTGTAGATCACCATTGTTAATATATAATAAAATACGTAATCTACGTACGTACAAACTTTTGTAAAAAAAAATGATTCTGAAATTTTTAGATAAGTTATCTAAAGACTTTACCGATCTTTTTGATGATAAAGAAAGCCATGATGTTATTATAGAAGTTGATAAAGAATCAAATAAAAGATCGTTTACAGCACATTCGTTGATATTAGGATATCGGTCAACATACTTTCGTAAAGAGCTAGCAAAGGTTGTGACGGATAGAAATCATGCCGGAAATATTGATACGAAAAATAATCGCGTTATAAATATTGTAAAACCGGAAATCTCTGCTGAGCTCATAGAAATAGTCCTTAAGTAAGTAAAACGTTGTTTGTCCCATATGCAATTTAACCTTCTAATTACCGATTTTATCTTATTATTATTGTTTTTTGTTTTTTTTTAGATATGTGTACGGTGGAATTATTAATTTAGAAAATATGGATAGTAAATTTATATTCGACTTGATGATATTTGCTAGTGAACTAGAATTTGAAGAGCTATTTCATCAACTAGAAAACCATCTCATTGAAAACAAAGCACCTTGGTTGCGTACACATTTCTCATACGTATATCATTCGATCTTTAATAACCAACGTTTTAAAAGCTTGGAGAAATTCTACAATGATATTATATCAAGACATCCTAATCTTATATTCGAAAATGAAGATTTCACCAGACTTAATGAATTGGCTCTAACTTCTATTATTAGGAGAGACGACCTGCAAATGGAAGAAGTGAAGATTTGGCAAAAGGTTATTCAGTGGGGAATTGCTCAGCACAATACTTTACCTCAAGGTCTCGAAGGGTGGACAAAAGAAAACTTTTTAACGTTAAAGACGACTCTACAAAATTGTTTGCCGCATATCCGTTACTTTCAACTTTCTAATGAAGATTTATGGAAAAATGTTAAACCTTATAAAAAAATTCTTGATAAGCAGCTATGGAATGATCTAAATCAGCGTATGATACTTCCGGAAGAACCTATAACCTCAGTTATCTTGCCTGCTAGATCTGTAATTAACACGGAGCTTCCAATACGAGTGGATGAAACCTTTTCAACTATTATTAGACACGAACATACTGCAGAGATTTCTGCATGGATTGATCGTAAAAACCAGACCTATTCGATAATAAATATCCCGTATGAGTTTGATTTAATTTTAAGAGGAAGTCGTGATGGATTTGATTATCGAACTTTTTGGAATATATGCCATGGTCATGCGAAGACAATTGTGGTTCTAAAAGTGGAAGGGACAGATGAAATCCTTGGTGGATATAACCCGTTAGCCTGGAATAAAACTGTGAATACAAATACTTACGCAGTAACAAATGATAGTTTTATATTTTCGTTAAAAAATGGCAATATACAAAATTCAACTATTAGTCGAGTGAAGAAACCAAGTATGGCTATTTTCAATCCGCATGTTTCCCAACAAAATTATTTTGGTCCATATTTCGGATATAATGATCTGTTTATGCGTGTAAAGCAAGGTGTTTGTTTAGGACCTAGGTCATATGAAAAAAGTATTAGAGAAGTAAATGGAGATTTTCCCATCGTTGATTACGAAGTATTTGTGATTAAATTTAAAAGTGCAGAAGCTACATAAGGTTCTTTATTCATAATGTACTTGGATTTTTTGTGTGAATTTATTTATAGTGACATGCAGTAATACACTGACTCAAAAAATTGTCCCAATAATTAAAACTTTTTTGTTTATAGCGTATATCTTTTGAGCGACTGA